TGTAAATTTTAAATTTTAATGTGTTTTAAAATATGGGTATTTTAAATTATGGGTATTAATTCAGCCAAATTTATTTAATTCATTTTATTCGATTTTAAATTTTTATATGTATGTGTTTTATTTCGTGGCTGTTCACCGCCCTGAGTCCTCCGGGAGTAGGGCGGTATAGAAATTCAATAAAACTAAACTAAACTAATACTTAGGAAAAACTTTTATAATTTTATAATTTAAGTTCTTTGCTGGATAGTCAAGCCCAAATTCCTAGTAGTTCACCATTCCTTTTCTGTGGGAAAGCCAAGAGAATGCAATGAAAAGAGCTCCATTTTTGTAGTAATCAGATTGGCATGGTTGGGATGGAATTAATTCCCTTTCTGGGTAGGGAATTTGGAAACAGTTGTCTATATACTTATAACAACCAAAAGTTCCTCCAAGAAACATTTTTAAATGCCTTCTAATTGTAAAGCAATGAAAAAATAGCTCCTGCTCAGTTTTTTATAAACACAAAGGCAGGACAAAGAAAGAGTTTGAATTCTCTCTTTTTTGAAATTTCTTTATGCAAGGACGTCCATGGGGCAAGATATGTCAAACAGGTAGTCCTCGACTTATGATCACAATTGGACTCAAAATTTCTGTTGCTAAGCAAGGCAGTTAAGTGAGTTATACCTCATTTTATGACCTTTTTGCCACAGTTGTTAAGTAAATCACTGCAGTTAAGTGAAGCATGATTGTTAAGCAAATCTGGCTTCCTCCATTGATTTCTCTTGTTGGAAGTTGGTTAGGAGTTACAAATGATAATCACATGGCCCCAGGACAGTGCAACTGTGATACAAACTTTTATCACCATGGGGATGCTGCAATAGTCATAAGTATGAAAAACAGTCAAAAGCCACTTTTTTCAGTGCCATTAAATGAATGATTGCAAGTCAAAGACTACCTGTACTGTATGTGCGGCTTCTTTCTTACATGTGTCACATACATCCAAAATGGGTAGAGCTTACAGCTCAACACAGCTTTCATCATTCTAGCAAAAGCAGCAGGATCCCACTTACACCCATGTTCTATAACATATATTATAGTAAAAAAATAAAGTATAGAAAGCCAAGGATGGCTTCCAAAAAGTTTTTCCACCTCTTTATCAGCAGTGGCCATAGAAGGCATTTTTATTTAATGTGTTAAGTCTGTGTGTTTCTGCTATGCACTTCCCACATGTGGCATCTTTGTGTGTTGTGTGGAGAGGGTGGGCTGTGCATATTCCACTCTGGGCTTGTCATCAGGAGAACTGAGAACTGAGAATGGAGCAATGTCAATATCTTGAGCTGGGATGCCTGGAGGAAACTTCCTAGGGTTTTATTTTTCTTCATACCCTTAAGCCTGATTCAATCCTTTTTAACTAGATCTTTCTTTTTCAGCTAAACCTTCCTATAATTAATATATATCTGTTTCATTCATGTTTCAGGTACTAGTCATCACAATGGAAAGGATAAAAGACAGATAGATTGATTATCCCACCCACTCCCTTATTTCTTCCCAGCAATCCTTTGAGTTGGAAATACCAATAGTACTAGACTTATATACTGCTTCATAGTGCTTTTACAGCCCTCTTTAAGTGGTTTAGAGTCAGCATATTCCCCCCAAGAATCTGGATCCTCATTACTTCAGAAGGATGGAAGGCTGAGTCAACCTTGAGCCGGTCAGCATTGATAATACATTCTTCTTCTTTTGGAATTGCATATTACATAACTGAAGGAATTAGCTGCCCCTAAACTAGTTAATATTTAATTTGCACAAGAGTTTGTCATCATCACACCATGATCTAGATGGGAACCTCCACTGTAATGTGTTGTGAACTATTGCTCTTTATTGCAAATGGTATGTAATTTGCCTTCCAACAAATCAGAACATTTGTAAATTCCCAAAATCTTTATGATAATCACTAGGATATTTTATGTTAAGAACTTGAGGAGCCTGAGTGGCGTAGGAAGCTAATGCCTCCTACTAAGGCAGCATTTAACATCCAGCTGCCTGCAATTACTGCGAGTTCAATTCTCACCAGGCTCAAGGTCGACATAGCCTTCCATCCTTTCTAAGATGGGTAAAATGAGGGTCTGTGGGGGCAATAAGCTGACTTTGTATAAAATATACAAAAGTATGAAGGCTATTGCTTAACGCATTGTAAGCCGCCCTGAGTCTCCGGAGAAGGGCGGCATATAAAAATAAATAAAAATATAAAAAATAAAATATATATATAAAAAAACTTTTGTTCCATTTTAAGAAAAAAAAAACTGAGTTCTGAGGACTCATCTGTAGTACAAACTCTGAAGCAGCTTGCTTTTTTGTATTATCCTTCAAAATGGCCTAATGCCTGGACAGGAAACCTAATTCTATTATCTTTTTGGCCCCAGCATTATCTATGCAAAATAAACCTATTACTGACCTACTTCACAATATGACTGTAAAGAAAAGTGCTTTATAGAAGTCATAAGCACTAAGACCCTCTGAATTAATATACATTCTTAAAAGTGACAAAAACCACAAAAAGACTATCAGGACCATCACTGTTCTAGAATCTGAACCAGCTATATGTAGATGGTCTAGAAATGCCCATAATGAAAGTACAAATATCATAATAAAAAGGATTATAAGCTTCTATATACTTGATAGCAAGCTCTGAAAAAACTCTGGATGCAACCCAGAGAATGCATCAAGATAAGTGTATAAATGCCAGCATGTCCTGTATTCTTTCTTTTCATGAACTGCAGACTCTTGAACTACGGACAATCTCTGTGCATCAGAGGTCAATAGATGGCATTCTCATTTGCATTTTTAGGCTGCACAGTGCCAGTAAAATATTTACCAACCAGTAAAGATGTCTATGATTATACCAGGTGCCATTTGCAATGATGTCTTTGTTGATACTAGAAGAAATTTCTACTGTACTGCTAAAGAACAAAGTCTCTCCTTTTTATTAATTATATGATTTTGGCAAGATAATTGTCAGTATCTATTTTACTACATGATACTAAAATAGAATTTATAATGGATCAGTATGTATTTTCCTTGGCAACAGCTTCTTTATTGTTATTGTTCTTGTAACAGCAAAAGAGAGTTTGAAATTCTCCCAACCAGAAGATCACAACTTCATCAAAGCAAAGCAAAATATATTTACAAATGTAATCCTGGCACCAAGAAATTTTATATCTCACACACATTATCTCTGGATCTGTTTCTTTTGATTTTGGTGTATTTTAATTCAAATAATACTGTAGCGGGACAGGGAGACAAGGTGCAATTTCCTGGGAGACTACTTTGAAAATGGGTACACATGCATGCACATCTCCCACAAGGATAACTGAGCTTAAATAATTAGTTTTTGTTTACTAATACCAAAAGACTCCATAGAATCTATATGTGACAAAATACTAGTTATCTATCTAATCATTAACCACATTACTGCACCAGTGTGATTTACTTTGATCAGGATAATGGATAATGGATTTTAGCTGAAAATCAGAAGAAATATTCCTGTGCAATGTATGAAGCAGTAGAAGATATTCTTCAGGTATTTCATTACCATTTACTGCATACAGAAGACCTATGACCAATGGGATCTGTGAAATTGTTCTGACCACTGTAATAATACTGATGCAAAAATTACAAATTAGCAACTATTTCCTGTGGAAAATATGCAGTGATGATTATTTCTTGTTTGTTTGTTTAATAGAGGAAATTTCTGATGAGTAGGACATACTGGCAAAATAGGTGATTAGTGATTTTTGTGAACAGCAAGGAGATAATGCGTTCTTCTTGGTATCTCACTAACCTTCAGTGGCATGTCTTAATGCACCCAATCATAGATAACAAGAGGAATGCTCACCATGGAAAATAAAATTCCTAATGCCAAAAAGAGGGAAGCCTAGAACCAAAATGAGATATTATTTACATTTATTTACATGCAAAAGTGTGCTCCAATGTGAGCATCCAGGGTGTAGTTCTTAAAGACATTGAAAAGTTGCTACCACAAATTTTGCATTGGAAGAATGGGAAAATTATCAAATGCATGAGCAATATCCTATTAATTATCCTTACTTTATTTAAAAGTAAACTATTTAGAAGTACATTCGTAGGTGTGGGATTCAAAGGGAAAGTGTGGTCTCCAATTTGGGAAAAGCTGCACCCTTCTATTATATAATGATTAGCCAATTGAGAATGGGCTTTAAATATAAGAAGAAATATGTTCATGGGGAAGGCAAGGAAGCCAACACACAATCAATATCTAATTATGTCAGCAATTCATGGATAATTCTATCTTACAAATTTAATTCGGAGGTGTGCAAAATGTTTCTAATTTGCTTCATCTTGCATTCTAAATGCAGTCCTGTTTTGAGTTTAAAACAATTATTTTGCTTTTAAAATAGATGCTTCAAATATTTTGGAAATGGCTTTGAAGTTATTTCAGAATATATAATCTTAGCCTTGTCAGGCATTTCTGAGTTTTGTTCCTGCATTCCCAATATCCTTGGTTTCTGTTGCCTTGTATTGGGAAAGGCTATCAAATGAGAAACCTGTTCTAAGTTTGAAAGCACCATCTGTGATTAAGAGTCCTGTATGATTAGGTTCTCTTCTTTAAATCTTCATTCTTATTCATAAACAGTGCAAGCAATTTACTGCAGATCATTTTAAGATACTGGTATTTGTTTGCAAATGGTACTCCATTTGCAAACAAGTATTTATCTTTGTTGCCTTCTGACATGAATGCTGACTCATTTAGCCGTTTGCATACTGGAAAGATCTAAGACCCTTCACTCTGGAGAAATAGTATGTTCTACCTTTGTTACACTTGCACAGTACAGCTTTTAATCTTGTTTAATGAAGGATAACAAAGCATACTAACTTACCCAAATTCTCTGAATCAGTTTTGAACCATCTTGATGGGTGATTTTCAAATAGAGTGAAGATGGAAGAATAAAAATCAACATATTGGCAGATGTTGTTCCTATGACAATGAGAAACATTTTGGTGTTATAATAAACAATTTATAAATCTAAGCCTAACAAAGGAGGAAATCTTAATTAAATATTCCTCTGCGCATGCCCCAAGATGGCGCTGTCCGTGTGAGATACACTCGATGATGGGATGGTTTCTGGTCATTTGGGGGTCTGGGGAGCTGACTTGACCATCTGCGGCCCCAGCCCCAGTTGTGGGAGCCTCTACGCAGCCTGTTGAGGGCTTTTTTGCCCTCCGGAACGCTATGGCTGGGCGGAGCCGACGCGAGAGGCGCCGTGGGAGAATGGTGATGGCGGCCTGGGTGCGGCAGCCTTCTTCTGCGCCGGAGGCCGCGGAGGCCGGAGCGGTGGCGGCTGTGGGCGCGTCGGCGGCGGCATGGAGCAGGCCCGCCCCTCCCAGGCCCTGGATATTGTCCCGGTGGCCCTGGGATATGCTGAGGGGCCGGGTTCCGTCGACGGTGGCAGCTGAGGCGGCAATGGCCGCTGTGGCTCGATGGCGAGACGATGGCAGCGGCGGCCTGGTGCTTAGCAGCAAAGGAGGGGGGGAGATATGGCCGTTTTGTTTCTGGCCCTACCATCTATACCTGGAATAGACCATCTGACCTGGGGGCTGGAGTCTGGAGGCGGGAGATACGATCAGGGGATTTATGAAGTCCTGGGGGTTGGAGAGGCTGGAGTGCGGCCAAAAAACTGGTCATCTGGTCGCCTCGATTTGTCTCCTCCCCCTACCCATGCCTATGACTTGGTCTTCGGCTTCCCGCCTCCAGATTATGTCCAGCTGCATGTTATCCCTCCCTTTTGAACATCTTCTCTCCCTCAGGTTTAATATCATCATGCCTCCATGGTTTGGCTTCCTTTCTCATCTGAGCCCCAAGCTGGAGGGTGTCTAGGCAATTGTCATGCGGGAGCTGAGGGAGTTGGTGCCTTTCACCAATGGAGGAATAGACCATCTGACTTTCCTAAGCCCTTTCCATCTGGGCTAGCCACCGTGAGAGGGTGGCTTGGATTCTTACCTCCGATTTTGATGAAATGATACGGGACTCCTCCCACTGCAGTGAGAGGGCAGAGGACTCCAGCTTACCGGCTCTGAGATTTATCTTGCTCTAATACCTTTAGACTATTTATCAAACTCCTGACCAGACTTTTTACCTCTCATCTATGTATGGCTTATACCTCGGCAGACCTGCTTGCGCTGCGAGATGCCCCCCTCTCGCGGCGATGGCCTTCCACGTTATCAAAGGCCTACCTTAAAGACGGGCTTTGGAGCCCTGAGAGGTGGCATGTTTCAAAGCGGGGATTAAGGGGTTTTTTAATTAGGGTTTTTAATAATTTTTTAAGGGGAACCGGGAGGATGACCAGAGGGGATGGGGGGGGGGTAATCCACCAAGGCCAGAGCCGAGCCTGGCATGGGGTAACGGTTTGGAGGGTACAGGACGAGGGAATGGGGAGGGGGCGGAGGGCTATCCCAATGAGGGAAATACCATCAGCACGGTGGTTGGGAGGGGCAGATATGGTGGGAGCAGGGGGCCACATCATGTGTTGGGGATGCACACTCGCTGTTTGAGAGCAATTGCACGCCCCGGCCCCCAAGGCTCCTCTCGGATACTAGGTGGCTTAGATACTCAGGACCTGGGCCTGCGGCTGATGCTGTGCAATGCCAGGTCTGTGGTAAATAAGGCCCCCCTCATTCACGATCTTATTCAGGAGGGGAGAGCGGACCTGGCAGGTATCACGGAGACCTGGTTGGGACCGGAGAAAGGAGTCCCTCTGGTCGAGATGTGCCCACCAGGTTTCAGAGCATACCATCAGCCAAGAGCGCAGGGGAGGGGAGGGGGGTGGCGGTTATTATTAAAGAAGGTCTTGGTCCGAGGGAGACCACCGTGCCTCAGATTGCCGGATGTGAGTCCCTCTTTGTGAGATGGGGTCATGGGGTTCAGATGGGCTTGCTGCTTGCGTACCTGGCTCCCTGCCACGTGGCAGTGGCCCTGCCTGAGCTACTCGACGTGATAGCCACGGTGGCAGTTGATACACCCAGGCTTTTGGTCATGGGTGATTTCAACTTGCCATCCGTTGGTGAAACGTCTGGGATGGCTCGGGAGTTCATGGCTTCCATGACGGCCATGGACCTGACCCAGTTAGTTCATGGCCCCACTCACGGGGGGGGGACACACTCTGGATTTGATTTTTGTCTCTGGCCAGTGGTTGAGTGATCTTGTTATAGGGGATATAGACATGGAACCCTTGTCATGGTCAGATCACTCACTCCTTCATCTGGACCTTCGAACCGCTACACCCTGCCGCAGGGAGGCGGACCCAATTAGATGGGTCCGCCCCAGGCGCCTGATGGATCCTGATAGGTTCCAGACGGAGCTTGGGCCAATTCCTGATGATCTGGCACACGACTCAGCCGAGGACCTGGTAGCTGCCTGGGATCGGGCGGCTGGTGAGGCCTTGGATCGAGTCGTGCCTTTGCGGCCTCTGACCCGGTGTCGATCCCTCACGGCTCCTTGGTTTACCGAGGAGCTGAGGGAGATGAAATGCCGGAAAAGACACCTAGAGAGCGGTTGGAGGGCCAGTCGCGCTGAATCTGACCGAACACTGGTAAGGTCGCATATTAAGACCTACCTAGTGGCGATAAAGACGGCAAAGTTTAATTACTTTTCCGCCTCTATTGCGTCATCAGGGAATCGTCCGGCCGCCCTGTTCAGGGTAACCCGCTCCCTGCTCCATTCAGGAGCGCGGGAGGATCCCTTGGAAGGCAGGGCGGAGGATTTCGGACAATACCTGTATGACAAAATCGCTCAGATCCGGGGGGACTTGGACTCTGACTGGGTAGATCAGGGCAGGGTGACGAGGAATAGTCTTGAGAATATTATCTGGGAGGAGTTTGATGCTGTGACTCCCGATGATGTGGACAGGATTTTGGGGAGACATGTTTACTGGATCCGTATCCCTCCTGGTTGGTACTGGCCTCCCGGGAGGTTACACGAGGCTGGCTCCAGGGTGTTATCAACACTTTGTTGAGTGAGGGTCACTTCCCCGCAGCCTTGAAAGAGGCGGTGGTGAGGCCTCTCCTCAAGAAGCCGTCCCTGGATCCGGCAATATTGGCCAACTACCGTCCTGTCTCCAACCTTCGCTTCATGGCGAAGGTTGTTGAGAGTGTGGTCGCGTGACAGTTTCCGCAATTCCTGGAGGAAACATCCTATCTGGATCTGTTCCAGTCGGGTTTCAGGCCTGGGCACAGCACGGAAACGGCATTGGTCGCGTTGGTTGATGATCTCTGGAGGGCTCAGGACAGGGGTTGTTCCTCTGTTCTGGTCCTATTAGATCTCTCAGCGGCTTTTGATACCATCGACCATGGTATCATGCTGCACCGGTGGAAGAGTTGGGGATGGGGGGCACCGTGTTACGGTGGTTCTCCTCCTTTCTCTCCAACCGGTCGCAGTTCATGTTGGCAGGGGGGCAGAGGTCGACCTCGAGGCCTCTTATATGTGGAGTGCCTCAGGGGTCGGTCCTCTCACCCCTCCTGTTCAACATTTATGTGAAGCCGCTGGGCGAGATCATCCGTGGCTTTGGGGTGAGATACCACCAGTACGCTGATGACACCCAGCTGTACATCTCCACCCCAGGCCACCCCAACGATGCCCTTGAAGTGATGTCCCAGTGCCTGGAGGCTGTACGGATCTGGATGGGGAGGAACAGGCTCAAGCTCAACCCTTCCAAGACTGAGTGGCTGTGGCTCCCGGCATCCCGATATAGTCAGTTGACTCCATCACTGACTATTGGGGGCGAGTCTTTGGCCCCCACAGAGAGGGCTCGCAATCTGGGAGTCCTCCTGGATACACAGCTGTCCTTGGAGGAACATCTGACGGCTGTAACCAGGGGGACCTTTTGTCAGGTTTGCCTGATTCGCCAGTTGTGGCCCTTTCTTGATCGGGATTCCCTGTGCACAGTCACTCATGCCCTCGTAACCTCTCGCCTTGACTACTGCAATGCTCTCTACATGGGGCTCCCCTTGAAGAGCACCCGGAGGCTCCAACTGGTCCAGAACGCAGCAGCGCAGGTAGTGACGGGAGCAGCATGGCGCTCCCATGTAACACCGCTCCTGCGTGAGCTGCACTGGCTCCCGGTGGTCTTCCGGGTGCGCTTCAAGGTGTTGGTTATCACCTTTAAAGCGCTCCATGGCATAGGGCCTAGCTATCTTCGAGACCGCCTGCTGCCACCGACGACCTCCCATCGACCCGTGCACTCCCACAGAGAGGGCCTCCTCAGGGTGCCATCAGCCAAACAGCAGGCTGGTGACCCCCAGGGGGAGGGCCTTCTCTGTGGGGGCACCTACCCTCTGGAATCAGTTGCCCCCAGAGATAAGGAGAATCCATGACCTCAGTGCCTTCCACAGTGCCCTTAAAACCTTTTTTTTCCAGCAAGCCGGGCTGGTCTAATTTTTTAAGTGTTTTTTAATTGTTTTGTTTATCGTTTTTAATTAACGGGGCCAAATTTATATATATATATTTAACTGTATTTTAATATTTGTATTTGATGTTTTTATTTGGCTGTTCACCGCCCTGAGTCCTCAGGGAGAAGGGCGGTATACAAATTCAAAATAAAATAAATAAAATAAAATAAATAAATATATTTAACATACTGTACCTACAACTCCAAAAATATCCTTCATGGAAGGTATAAAAATAACCAGCAGGTTAATGATCATCAAAAGGATCAATGTAACCACAATGTGTTGGCATAAATGAAATTTGGTTTTTCTAGCAAGCTCAAATATAGATGAACGAACCTATGGAAGAAAAAAAAAATAAATCTGTTAGGCAAAATGTTACATGGGACAGACATCCTTTTATTAATTCTCCTTCAGAATTATATTCTGTGTTCATTTAGAGGAATTAATATATCATATTTGTGAATATCAGCATTTTCAATTCTATTGCTATTTGTTTCAGCTAGAGCTTTTTTATACTATCATAACTTGTTCTAATAAAACATTAAAATTTTGCTTCAAATTAAAAATTGAATTGCTTTTTTGCCAAATTTAAAATACTTAATCTCTCATACCAAGCAGAATTTTCATGTGAAATTGTTAAAGAAAGGAGAACAATGAACACATATTTATATTATATAATATTTTCACTTTTTACTTTTTTTTTATTTTTTTATTATTTTTTAAAACTGCACTTTCTACTTTCTGATAAATATTTGAACTGATATCATAAGAGCGTATGATTGCCTTTGAGTTCTGATTGTTCAGGAATTCAGAGGAGGCTTGACTTGACTACCTGGGGAATTCCATAGTCTTCTATAAAATACTGCAGTAAAGGTGCTGCCTAGACTTGGATAATATAAACGTATCAGATTAGCTCTTACCTTTCCTGAATCCCTGTTTGTTTCTAGTCCCAACTCAAGGGATAGTTTTAATCTATAAAACTCTTCCATTTGTGGGACCTGAAGGAATTTTTCTGAATGTTCCTATTTGTGCCATGGTCAGCCTCAAAGGCCTGCTTGGGATGACTTCTTATGCTGAGATATGACAGAAAGTTACCCAGGAACAAGCCTTTACATTGGTTGATTACCCAAATTTGGAATGCCTTCCCCAACAAAGTATGGCTAATGTTTTTATTTGCTGTAACAGTGATTTTAAACTTTTTATTGTTGCTTGGAGTTCCTGTTATTGTTTTAATATTTACTTTTTATTTCATTCTGTATTTTATAAAATTCTTTTACATGTTTTATGAATTGCTTTGATTATAAACATCTACAAGGATTTTTTTTTGTGGGGGGAAGTGATATGGGTAGTCCTTGACATATGACTACAATTGAACCCAAAATTTATGTTGTTAAGAGACATTTGTTAAGTGAGTTTTGCCCATTTTATGACCTTTCTTGCCACAGTTGTTAAGGGAATCATTGCAGTTGTTAATAACATGGTTGTTAAGTGAATTTGGCTTCCCTATTGACTTTGCTTGTTAGATCATAAAAAGCTGATCACATGATCCAGGATAATGCAACTGTCATAAATATGAACCAGTTGCCAAGCATCAGTTTTGATTATGTGACCATGAGGATGCTGCAACCATTTTAAGTATAAAAAATGCTCATAAAACATTTTTTTCAGTGCTGTTGTAACTTTGAATGGTCACAAAATCAATCGTTTTAAGTCGATTGCTACCTGTACTTCTCAATTTTAATGTTTAAAATAAATGCATAGAAAGCTAGTTTGATCTTCTGCACTATATCAGGTTTTCTAAATCAGCCATACTGAACACAGATAGTCCTGGAGTTATGAATATAATGGAGCCTGCCCATTCCATTCGTAAGCCGAGGATTTGTGGGAATAAATCTTGTACCTTGAACAGGATCACTCCCTACTTTTGCCCACAAATTTGATAATCGAATGTATTACATCGATACATACATCGAATGTATGGCTCTTTAAGTGCACGTGAGGTATCTCGGGATGGGGAAGGCCAGGGGGGCCTAGTGATGGGACAGGCCACCTGCTTAAGACCATCCAAGGCCTCCCCGACCTACTGAACTCATGCTCCCCACAAGTGTTTTACCTCCCACCCAATCTGCTGCGCCAGGTCACTTACCATGCAAAGATCTAGCAAGCTGCCTCCTCTCCAGCCTCTCAGCTGTGCACACCCCTCTGCAGCTCCATTTTGGTGTGCGTAGGCCTTGCCCAGCACTTTGCCGGCCAAAATTGAGCTACTTCAGACCAGTCAAGGCCTCCCCTGACCACAGATACCTCATTCTCCTCCCCTGTGGTCCCCAAAATTGCTTCCTCCCTCATCCTGCCACATCAGGTGATTTACCTTATGAAGATCTGTCTCTTCTCCAGCCAGTTTCTTTGCCTGCTTCCTCCCGTCATCAAAGGGCTTGACAAGGCCTCTGGTGACGAAAAAGGAGGCCTGGAGGGCTGCGCCGTCCTTCCGGTTCCTCGTTTTTCATCATTGGAGGCCTCGTCAAGCCCTCCTTTCTCGTTGGCAAAGCACTTGAGGATTGTATCTCTTTAGGCTTCGGCAGCCCTTTTCAAAAAGGCTTTGCTGGTAGGAACAGAGCTTTGTAGGGATGCGCCTGCTCTTCCCAAGCTCTGCTGGTGCCAGCCAACCTTTTTGCAAAAGACTGCCAAAGCCTACAGGAATGCACTCTCCCTGCGGGCTTTGGAAAAGAAACTGCAAACAGAAGGAAGGTCTGAAGGACCAAAGCCTTTCCACAGTTTGCAAATATCCAGGCCTCAATTCACACAGAGGCCTAAAGTGCAAGATTACACAAGATCAGTAGCACGAGATCTCGCACTATTAATCTCGCATGATCTTTCAGTACGGTAGGCCTGTTTTCTGCCAATGCACCGAAATGCTAAAGCAATGAAGCAGGCAAAGAAAGAGCAATAGAGATATCTTCGCAAGGTAAGCGTGTCTCCACAGGTGGAGTGCTTGTGAAGAATAGGCAGGGTGAATGTTACAGAGCCTTTGCAGTCATTCGTAAGGGCGAACAACTGCTGTAGTGCAACATTTGTAATTTCAGGACTTCTTCATAAACGCTAGTGGGTACTTATCGTGTAACTTCGAACATTCACTAAGGGAACATTCGTAACTTGGTGCTACTTTCCTACTTTTTAATGGAATGATTTAAAAGAAGTGAAAAAGTTATCATTTCAGTCTTTCCCAATATGGAATCTCTGGAATTGTTTGAAACTATGATCTCTAAGAATTCCCAGCATATTTGTAAGTCCCGGAAAATATAGTTCCAAGATATCCAAAAGGCCAATCCAGAAGAAAGTGTGGAAAAAAGGCCCACTGAACAAAAAACAAAAATTTTGGAATTAAATGCAATGAAGTGTTTTACTGACATGGACAATTACAGTAATCATTGGGTTCTTGGCCAGAACATTCAGAGGTAATTAAATTAAGACACTTTATGAGCATCATATCCAGAGAAACTAAAAGTTTCATTGCAGGTAATTATTTGGAATGATCTGGCTGAAGCAAGCAGTGGGTGAATCTAGAGACCAGAGTGGGTTGGGATACTTTCTGTCTCTGGCACTTCCAGTCTTCTCTTTCAGGATCCCTTTTTTTTGCCGTGTTGCTGCAATATTCATAATTTCAGGACTTATTCGTAAACGCTATGGGGTGCTTATCACATAATTTTGAACGTCCACTAAGGGAACATTCATAACCCGGGGATTACCTGTACTATAATTTCCATTACTTTTATACTGGTCATCAATGAGCAATATCCTGGAATGATGGGATTTATGTCCTAATATAGTCTGGATTTGTGGAAGGCTGAACAATATCACTGAACATCAATGTTGTTTTAATATTTAAGCATTGACAAGTAGCATCAGCAATTATTATTAGGCAAATAGAACACTTCAACATTCCAAATCCCTTTAAACATTCTAGCCTTCAGAGTATCTACCTATCAGAGAACAACAAGGAGCAGAAGGAGGAAAATGAAAGATACAAACAACTGTAATGCAGACTGAGTCAGCTGCGTATCAAATCATAATTCATGAACCAAAACAGCCCATCAATAGAACTTCATGGAGTAAATGGGAAAATAGGATGGCTCAGAAAGGAAATGTTGTTTTTGCAGCATGATCAATAAGTATATTATTTATTAGACACAATTGAGAACTACATGTCTATTGGTTTAATGAAAGCAGAAATGGACAGTTCTTAATCATACTTTTTTTTGAGAAAAAAATATTTTCAGTTTTGCAAATATTTGGAATTTAGGAGGCTGGGGATTGATGTTAACTTGCAATCTATTCCTGCTAAAACAAAAACTAAATAAGGAAGCAAACATTCAATTCTTGTATTCAGGAACTACCAATCTATTAACAAATGGACAGAAAATTCCAACTTACAGTGAAAAATAACACAGGGACTGTAAGTATCACTGCAACAATGACGGCAACACGAACAGTTAAGACAAGGATGTCATCTTTATTCTGGTATTTGTGAAGCAAATCTGATTGTACAGATTCTGCAGGGAAAACAATGATAGAGCTGTTCTAGCAGTCAGATAATTAATTAATACAAGCTGCCATTTAGTAAAAAAACATCTCAAACAACTTGTGATTTAATCTTTTGAAATGAGGCTGGTGAATCACCCTTTCAAATTGAATTGTCAGAATGGTTCAGCGCATCAAACTGTGTAGGATCCATTTGTATCTGCTAACAGAGACTTAGACTCAGCAATTCAATATTCAATGAATATTTGTGGTTATGTGCTTTTTCTTAATTGATTCAGAAGTGAGAATCTATATGATTTTCTAATTCAAATCAATTTTCTGATCCGAATTTCAAATTTAAATCAAAGTTGATTAGCATTATAATCTTTTATATCAGGGGTGTCAAACTCGATTTCATTGAGGGCCACATCAGGATTGTGGTTGATCTCAGGGGGCTGGGTGGTAGGCGTGGCCAGCTGAATGTCGCTCATATTGGGGGGCTGGGGGGATCCATTGTCTTCAGAAGAGGAAAGCAAGACCAGGGCAAGCGCCAAACCCTTGTCCACCAGAGGAGCCTCGCTGTCCCTCTCAGGCCATGCGGAGGACCCCTGGACAGCGCCATTGGCTGCCTGGAGCTCTGAGCAGTGGAGGGAAAGCACCCAGCGCTCTCAAGTTCCCAGGGCACCAGGACCCCACAGCCCAGCCCAGCCACACTTCCCCAAGGGGGCGCCCAGCTGCACTTACTCCTCCTCAAGACTGCTGCTGCTGTGCTTGCTCTCCTTGGCCACGTTGCTCATGGTGTGTGCGGGCAGGCAAAGTGTGGGTTCTTGCGAGAGGACCCGGCTTTGTAACCAAAGCATCCTTAGCTATAGGATGGGAGACCACAGGGAGAGGAGTGGACAAGGGGATGGCGAAAGGCCAAATGCTAAGGCAGGACTTTCCTCAGACCCCCTCTCTCATAATCTCTCTCCTTCCTTCTCATTGCCATCTTCCTTCTTTCCTTCTCATTGCCATCTTCCTTCCTTTCCTCCTTCTTATTCCCATCTTCCTTCCTTCCCTTCCCTCCTTCTCATTTTCAACTTCCTTCCTTCCCCTTCTCCTTCCTCTTTCCCTCCTCCTCCTTCTCCTTTCCCACCCTTACTTCTCCTATCCCTACCCTTTTTCTTCCTTCCTTCCTCCCTCCCTCCCTCTCCTCCTTCCTTCCTCCGCACTCAGGAAGGCACGAGGGCAGCTTTCCCATGCAGGGGCGGGGGCAGTCCCAGTGAAACAGAACCCTCATGTGCTGCAAGGCCAGGCTGGCGAGCAAGACATGGAGGTGCTGGTGGTTGGTGTGGTGCTGATCTACAACTTTTGGAGCCATCTAGGCCAGAATGTGGCCAGCCTTAGATCTGATCCACACGGCTACCCTGGAACCAGCGAGGGACCGCCCTGCTGCCTCGGCGAAAGGGAAGCCTCGAGGGCTGTGAGGCCAGGCCAGTGAGAGGGGTATGGAGGTGTTAGTGCAGATGTGGTGCTGATCTACAATGTGGTGGTGGCCATCTGGGCCAGAACGCAGTCAGCCTTAGATCCGCAGTGCTGCTTTGGAGCCAGCTTGGGGCAGCCCCTGCCACCTCAGCCCTGCCCCCTGGGCACACACATAGGAGGCAGCAAGCACTGGCATCCTGGGTGAAAGGATGCCAGTTCCCACACGCTCACCACCTCTTGTGAATGCGCTCAAGGTACGGGGTGGTGGCGGCCCATCGCTGGCTCCAGGGTGGCTCTAAGGCTGACCATGTTCTTGCCTGGATGACCGCCACCAGGTTGTAGATCAGCGCCCAGTTGGCCTGGGCCAGGCTGAAGCACCATGGGCCAGTCCTTCGCTGTTTCCAGGGTGGCCTTGTGAGCCAGTTCTAATAACACTGTGGGCCGGATCTGCCCCGCAGGCTTTAAGTTTGACACCCCTGTTCTATATGTTACTTTCCAGAATCCTGAAACAAATGCAAAGATAATAAATATGTATTGCAGACATAGAAATGTATGCTAATAACTGGACAACCCATGCCCATTGGGTCATTGTTTTAGAGATATTTCCTTACTTAAAGAGAGAAAAAGAATGACCATGGGTGGGCAAAAAAGGAGTGGGAGTGAGTTCTGACTTCCTGCCAGTTTTCCTGTAGAATTACCTTGTGGGAAGTTGGCAGGGAGCATCAGAAATCCTTCCTTCCTTCCTTCCCTTCCTCCCTCCCTCCCTCCCATCTCTTTGCTAGGGAGAAAGTCAGTGGAGAAGCCAACAGGCGGTTTCAAGTCCAAGGCCAGCAGGCAGGTATGTGACTGCCATTGGTTGGGGGTGAAAGTGAGGTGGTGCAGGTCAGAAACGATACATGGAGATGTGTGAGAAATACTGTGGGTTGGGAAGAGGATGTGGATGTTTACTAGAGATGCCATCAGGGATGGTATACAGATGGGTAGTCAGGAGGGTTCCTGGAATGTATGTGAGGTGTTGTGTGGATTGGATAGGGAGTGGAGGGGTGTGTGGGTGAAGCAAGTGCATAGGGTCACAGAGTTGTGTAAGAGGTACTGCACCAGTCAGGGATTGCACATGAGAGGATGTGGGTAGTGCTTGAAGGTGCTTGGGAGTGTATAGAGTGTGATATGCAGGTCAAGAGATGGTGAGTGGGGTTACATGAAGGGTGTATAAGGGTGCCCAAGAGGTGCTGCATGGGTTGGACAATGCGCATGAAAGGACGTGGGTTGGAGAAGGTGCGTGTAGTTGTACAAAAGGTGCTACATTGGTCAGACAAGGTGCTAACAAGGGATGGTGCAGATTACAAAAAGTGTGACATGGAGGGCACAACATTGGTCAGGGAAGGTGTATAGGGATGTGGCACAGGTTGGGGGAGCACAGAAGGGAGTGGCATGGACTGGGAAGGGCTTACAGGGATCCTGTTCCTCTTCCTTTTCCTGCCTTCCTTTCTTCTTTCTTTCCTTCATGAAATTTCATTTCTCAAATTTATATACCACTCATCTTGTGGTTTGAGGTGACACTGGGTGGCTAAGGCTTTTCCCTTTCCCTTAAAGTGGCTGTTTGGGGAGGTGGGGGCAAAAGCCTGCTAGACTGGCTGAGAAATGTCATGGAATATTGAAAATAAAGATCATGTGACCACAGTCCAGTCCAGCAGCAGAACAGCATCATCAGATAAGAAAATATCCTTTTCAAATTAAGCATGAGGCCTCTTCATTTGGATGTTGCTTTCTGTACAAAGAAGGAAGAAAGTGGCAACATACGCATTTTATAAAATTCATGTTTGACTGTGATAATGTTTGAATTATAGGGTAATCATTATTGGCCTCAGTTGCTTGCTTTAAAAAGTATTATGAATCAAGAAGTAACCTAAAATATCATGCATGTTAGGGAAGATACATACATACCATAAAATGTCAAGTAGCCAAAAATAGCAGTTAAAAAGTACATGACAAACATGGCAAAGAAAGAGATTTTTGTAACCATCTGCATTCTTTTCTGCGAATGACTGTAAAAAAAAGGGGGAGGGGGAGAGGAATGAAGATAAATGAAGATTGGTGGTATTATTATTCCATTATTTTTTCATTCAGAGGCTGCCTAACTCCTCAGCAACATTTATTAAACTTTAATACATGCTCACAAACACTATACCATTTACTATACTCATTTATAGATAAAATGAGTAATAATGTGAAGCTTAGTTACGAAGGCAAATAGTAAAAACCGATACTTCATTCTTAATCCAACTCTTTTAACAATGAGTAAGGGCTAATATTCCTTTCATGGATCACTGCCTTGTCGTGGCAAAGGGGCTTGTGCAGCGCAATGAAGCTATGAGCTATGCCGTGCAGGGCCACCCAAGATGGACAGGTTGTAGCAGAGAGCTCTGACAAAACGTGATCCACTGGAGAAGGAAATGGCAACTCACTCCAGTATCTTTGCCATGAAAACCCCATGGACAGTACCAAAAGGAAAAAAGATATGACACCGGAAGATGAGCTCCTCAGGTCGGAAGGTGTCCAATATGCTACTAGGGAAGAGCAGAGGGCTAATACTAGTAGTGCCAGAAAGAGTGAAGTGACTGGGCCAAAGCTGAAAGGACGCTCAGCTGTGGATGCATCTGGTGGTCAAAGGAAAGTCCGATGCTGTAAAGATCTATACTCCATAGGAACCTGGAATGTAAGATCCATGAATCAAGGCAAGCTGGATGTGGTCAAATAAGAGATGACAAGACTGAACATCGACATCTTAGGAATCAATGAACTAAAATGGACAGGAATGGGTGAATTTAATTCAGATGAACATTACGTATACTACTGCGGGCAAGAATCTCTCAGAAGAATTGGAGTAGTCGTCATAGTCAATAAAAGAATAGGAAAAGCAGTACTGGGATACTGTAAGGATCGCCTCTCCTTCCAACTTAAGAAAGTACGAACTCTTGAAACGTAGTTGTTCAAAAGGATTCTTTTATTAAGCAGAAGTGAAAACCATCCAGTTAAAGCACAATCTGAATGCCCTTAGGCAAAGCAGTAGGATTAAAGTGGTAGAGACCCCTCCCTTTAGGTCAGAATGCGGATTTCAGCCAATACACAAGTGTGAAGATGTTTTCTTTACTATTTCCTTTGAGAACCCGAACATACATGCATTCCCACCACTTCCCTTTAAAGTGAGACAACCCACATGGCTATCATATAAATTCCTGCAGGTAAAGGAATCTCAGGCTTCCTTGGCGCCAGGATATAGGTTGTAAAATATCTGATGACACAGGCCATCCAAGTCCCCCCTTCCTTCACTTGAATGGCAGTATCACTTTTAGGGATCTGACATGCTACCCTCCTTAGAAAACAAAAGGGTCCACCTGTAAAAAAAAAAAAAAAACAAATATACACAAGATTTCAAGATTTCATGATAGTAGATCAACAAGGTTTGTTAGGGTATTGGGAGTGAAATTTTCTCAGTAAGATTGGAGCCCTAACGTGGTGTTTAGCGACCCATTCATTGTGTGCTGATGGTAAATGTTTCCAAGCAACTAAGTATTGGACTTTCCCTCTGTGGATCCTAGAATCAAGGATTTCCTTGATTTCAAAGTGTTGTTCACCTTCAATCATGATGGGAACAGATGGTGTAGATGCAGGTGGTCTGAGGGATGAGGTTACTTCTCGTTTGAGTAAACTGATATGGAATACTGGGTGGATCTGCCTGAGTGTCTTTGGAAGAAGTAGTTCAACTGCTACTGGATTTATGATTCTAGTGATGGGGAAAGGTCCAACGAACTTTGGCCCTAGTTTCTTTGATGGTTGTAATGATTTCAAGAATTTTGTAGATAAGTATACTCTGTCTCCAATATGAAAAGGTTTGGGTTCCATCCTTTTCTTGTCAGCTTGAATCTTAAAAGCTTCTCTAGCTTCCTGTAAGGCTAATCTAACCACTGGCCACGTGTTTCGCAAATTATCTGTTAAGTCCTCGCAGTACCGACGCCGGCAAACTCTGTTCTTGCTGCCCTCCCGTGATTGGCCAAGTCGCGCTGGATTGCCGAGCGGGAGAAATACACCTTTATGATTGGACGTTCTAGTTTGACAGCTCGCTACTTAAGCAGCTGTCAGGCAGTTTCTTCGTTCGTGAGTTTCTGAGGTATTCGTTGTTCTACGTATTGTTGGTTTAAATAAAGAGTTTATTAAGCCTAGCCGTGAGTCCATGCCTTTGTTCTAGGATAGAACAATTGGCGATGAGGGTGGGATCGGCGACGGCTGTGGCAGGGCGATAGAAGCAGCACCTGTCTCTCACGCTGACCATGTCAACGTTTTTGCCAGTATTTTCCCCGTTCGTCCCATCGGCAGAAACATGGGACACTTATATGGAGCGTTTCGAGTGCTTCCTCCAAGCGAATGCATTGACTGACTTGTCCAGCGCTTGGAAACGGGGCTACTTCCTCAGCTCCTGTGGAAGCGAGATCTTCGGAACCGCCAGGGCTCTAGCCGCCCCACAACAAGTGTTTGACGTTCCGTGGGACACATTATTGGAGAGACTTAAGAATCATTTCTCCCCCACACCATCTCGTATAGCGCGCCGTCATGCATTTTGGCAGCGCTCACAGTCGGAGGGGGAATCTGTGAACGACTACATGGCCTCTTTGCGCTCCGCAGCACTCCACTGCGAGTTTCGTGATTTGGACGAGATGCTTTTGGATCAATTAGTCTGTGGCATTAAGGATTTAAAGCTGCAACGGTGATTATTGGCGCGGTCCGAATTAACACTCCAGGTAGCCCTGGACGAGGCCAGGGCTGCTGAGATGTCCGGCCGTTCTGCCGCTGAAATTCAACAGTTCCAAACGCCCTCGGCAGCCGCTGTGAAACCTCTGTCCATCCATTACGAGGAGGTTGGCCTGCCGGGTTCCTCCTCCGATGACGAGAGAGAGGTGAGCCGCCTCAGGGCGACTCGTCGGCGACCAGGAGTGACCAGCAAAATTCCAACATCAGCCCAAGACTCTTGTTTGGGCTGCGGTGGCAACCATCGTAGAACCGACTGCAGATTTAGGACCGTGATTTGCCGCCGCTGTGGCAAGAGGGGCCACCTATCTCGGGTTTGCCGGGCTCCCAATCCCATGGCCGCCCCTTCTACTGAGCCTCCACCAGATCGCCGCCGGGGCCGGAGATCGGCCGTTCGTCATGATGGCTGTGTTGCTGTGACCCATTACGAGGACCTGCTGGAAGTTGCTGTGAGCAATGCTTCTTCTTCTCCCGCTGCCAACAAACTTTTCCTCACGGTGGTTCTGGAAGGATCGACCTGCCGCATGGAGGTCGACACGGGTTCCTCCAAGTCCCTCATTGCCTGGTCTACCCTAACCAAATTACTGCCTGGGGTGTCCCGACGGCGGCTTAAACCTTGCCCAGTCATCTTAAGGGATTATCAAGGGAAGTCCATTGCTACATTGGGTTATGACACTTTCCAAGTATCCTATCAGTCCTTCTCTGGCAAACTACCACTAATTGTCGTTAAGGACAATCTGCCTAGTTTGCTAGGCCTAGACTGGTTTGCCGCACTAAGGTTGACTATCTCGGGCATACACTCCGTGTGCCCAGATGTTGCTTCCACATTAGCCCTTGAATTCGTGGATGTGTTTTCCGATCAACTGGGCAAATATACGGGTCGACCCATATCTTTTAATTTGGATCCCCAGGTGGTGCCTGTTAGACTCAAACCACGAAGGGTGCCCCTAGCCTTGCGTCCACGGGTAGATAAGGAATTGGATAAGCTCATTGCCCAGGGTGTCCTTGTACCCGTAGATCACGCCAGCTGGGAAACCCCCATTGTCATTCCTCTGAAACAGGATGGGACCATTAGGATCTGCGCTGACTATAAGTGTTCCTTAAATAAGGCGCTGCAGGCCAACCCCTACCCGGTGCCGGTGGTGCAGCATCTACTGCACTCCCTGGGCCATGGCCGGGTCTTTGCCAAGTTAGATTTGGCCCAGGCTTATCAGCAACTCCCCGTTGATGAGCCGACGGCCATGGCCCAAACCATACTCACTCACAGGGGTGCGTTTAAATGCACCCGACTCCAATTTGGTGTAAGTGTCGCCCCGGGAATATTCCAAAGCATCATGGAACGATTGCTTCAGGATATTCCCGGGGTAGTTCCTTATTTTGACGACATATTGGTCTCCGCTGGAGACCAATCTGATCTCCTCGCTAAGCTGCGGTCTGTCTTGGGCCGTTTGCGCAGCGCTGGCCTCCGCCTTAAAAAGTCAAAGTGCGTTATTGGGGTTCCCCAGGTGGAATTCCTGGGGTTCCTCATAGACGCTAGAGGAATTCACCCGACCCCTTCCAAGATCGCCGCCATCAAACACGCCCCCACCCCCACCTGCAAGGCGGAGCTACAGGCTTTCCTGGGGCTCCTTAATTTTTATTCGGTTTTTCTCCCTCATAAGGCGTCCTTAGCTGAGCCCTTGCACCGCCTCCTTGATTCTAAGGCACCCTGGGTGTGGAGTCGCGCTGCTGCCGCGTCATTTCAAGCTGTCAAAGACGCGCTGACGTCACGGGCTGTTCTTGTCCAATACGATGAGAACTTGCCTTTGTCCTTGACTTGCGACGCCTCGCCTTATGGCATCGGCGCCGTTCTCAGTCATATTTTCCCTTCGGGCATTGAAGCCCCGATTGCCTTTTACTCTAGGACCCTGTCCGCCCCGGAGCAGAATTACAGTCAGTTGGATCGCGAGGCTCTGGCGGCTGTCGCCGGGGTCAAGCGATTCCATGATTATCTGTATGGCCGGTCTTTTACCCTCATCACCGACCATAAACCCCTGCTTGGGCTGCTCTCCGGGGACAAACAAACTCCCATTATGCTGTCGCCTCGTATGTCCCGCTGGGCCGAGTTCTTGGCCGCGTATTCCTATCATCTGGCCTACCGTCCGGGTTCGGCTATAGGGCATGCTGATGCCCTTAGCCGTTGCCCCTTGGCTAATCCTGATTCCGACCCAGCTCCCGCGTCCTCTGTCCTTCTCATTGAAGATTTTGATTTCCCTATCA